CATGTAATTATCCGATACAGTTTTTTGCTGTTAATTTATTGGGTTCAATTTAAGGGGCCCTGCCTTAATGATCATGGCGCCATCACCATCTGAGGAATTAAGCTTGCGATTGCTTGATCACTTTGAAATAAGTTTATTAAATCGGTATCCTTACTAATATTATAAATCGGAAAGTGAGTTTGTTTGTTTGTTCCGCTTTCACGCCGTAACTACTTAACCGATTGCTTTGAATTTTTGCAGACGTAAAGTTAGAAGTCCGTATTAAATAATAGGCTACTTTTTATCCTTTTGTGACGTGAGCGAAGCCGCGGGTAAACGCTAGTGTAGATATATTTGGTTAGTCGTTAATGAATGCCTTCCTAAATTAAGGTCTTATTGTCACTTATTAAATTCATTATAAAATCTGTTGATTTCATTGTTATGATAGGATACTATCTCGAGATTGAAAAGTGTGGAAACCTGAAGAAAAGTGGGTGCTAGATTGTACCCGGTACCTGTGTATTGTCTATCTTTGCGTAGTTAAGAAGAAGTAGTCCTTCGAAGATTACAAAGCGTGATGTAAAGTCCTAAACAAAATGAAGAATAGGTACTATATAAGTAGATATATTTACCAATACCTTTTTTAAGTTGACTGCTGTCCGGCTGAATATAGCCTTTATACTTCATAGCAATGAAAAAAACTTCACAAACTTAGATGGTGGGGCTATCCAGTACCAAACTTGCAGTCTTTACATTATTAAATTTAATATAGTTTTAATGCAATTGTATGACTTAAAAAGGTTCTAAGTTACTTCAGAATTCATGTTCGGAATTTTATTGGCGCCACCTTAAAGTAAAATGTCATCGGATGATTAGATTTACCTTTGTATAAGTTTAAGTCGTTTATTAAATACATAAACATTAACAGCTTGTGATAATACATTGTTGGACTATAGGACTCCTATAAATAAAACTTTTTGCCATACTACCTCCACGCTCCCTATCAAATGTCCTAAATTATCAAACTGGGTCTAAAATCTTTGAGTTGAGATTGACTTTTGACATTAGAAACATCCAATTTCTAAATTTTAAAGACTCTTTATATTATACGTTGCCCCACTCTAGAATTTTCTCCTGTAGTTTCTCCAGTTTACAAACATACAACTTTGCTACATATGATATGAAACAAAAATTTGTGAGTCACACGTTGCGCGACAGTCAGTTCAGCCCAGCCACGGCACCAACTGGATTGATCCAGCAATTCAGCAATAAGTTCGGCTATTAATTTCCAAGGTTCAAGGCTCTTAACACTTTGAGGAAGTGCGAGGGCGCTAACAAATTCTAGTCTGTTTTCTCCATAGCAACCACAACACTTTAAACTGTACTTAAAGTATTATGATTGCTAAAAGGTGCTATGGAACTGCAAATCGAATCTCTAAATAGTTTGTTTGAAAAGCGTTTTGCCTTGCAATGCATTCCAATAATAATCTTTATTTACATCCAAAGGCAATGTTAATTAACTGTTACATCAGCATGAATCAAATATTATGGTGCTTTGGTCCCTTGTGGTTTAAACATGGTCTTTACAGTCGAGTCGCTAGGCGGTTGGAGATGATATTTTGCGGTCGGAGTAAAAATAGAGAAAGTATCGTGCGAACGTTCAACTCGACTTACTATTGATATAGAATCGAAGTGTTGATTGCTGACATACGTGAATTTATATTTGCAGGTGAGTATGATGAATGACGTACACGATTTTGTTGCTTCCTTTGACTGAACGATCAACATAGTGATGTATTTTTGATTAAACAAACTACGTAGGGATGTATTTTTGGTGGTATATGCTTATGATACAGGAGATAAACATAGTAGTGTTACGATAGGAGGTGGAAAGGCTGTTCCTGTCTTCAACTAAATGTTACATGATTGAAATTGTTGTGTTTAAGAGAAAAGTTAGGTATATTTTCAATATCATACATGACATGTATCCATTTTCTGATTTCATATTGTACACAATAAACAACAACACTTGTTGACCGATACGGAGCCGCGGAAGACTTACCGGGTTACCGGGGCTCCGGCTCGAAGTACAGGAGTAGGAACAGAGTGGTTTTTAGTCAGTAAGAGTCTGACTCTCCCTCTCGCCTCACACGGGTAGGAGAAGTCATTGGATAATTTTCTCCCCTCTAAAAAAAAACAAAGTACCTACACCTTGTTGAGACCAGAACACCACACAGGTTACATTCGAATCTATACCTCAAGACATTAGTACTCTTGTCAGTATACTAATCATAATGTAGGTACAAGACTTACTCAAGTGACCAATATAGCTTTACCTGCCGAAAATGTAACAAGTAAAAAAACTCGAGCATGTACAAATATAAGTGAACAATCTGTAAGCTAATTATAATGCTGATAAGGCGTAGTAAAGGCGCCAACGCCGACAGAATTAATTCTACGCGTACTATTACATAATTTGGCGTTAGGCGCCGGCGCACGGGGACGGCGCTCGCGCAGACGGCGCCACGACATAGCGTCGGGTTGCCAGATATGCAGACTATTTATGATTTACTTTATCGCTATATCTCAGCCCGTAAACGTCTATGTGTGATCAGATGACTCTTTTATCTTTGAGAGCAAAACAAATTAGGTACTGCAGTGCGCTAATGTGATCAAGTAAATATAGACTCATTGATGCATTTAGTAGGGTTACAATTGCAGACTTGTTAATGCATTTTTGTGGGAATTTATCCTAGATAAAGTCTTTCGATTTATGTTATAGTTTTATCCGCCAATCCGCCTATAGCCAGTTCGGACTTCTCTGAGTTTATTTTAAGTTATTGTTAATGAATACGAATCTTTGATTCTATAATTGATATCTTATAATTACCTATACTTTCACAGTGATCCTACTTTAAAAGTATACATACACAAATTTATAAAAAAAGCTGGCAACACAACAGATGTTAATAGGCGGTGAAATATCGTAGTTACTGCGATAAACTTGAGTTAACTGCCGTCAGACGCGGATCGCTCGTACTTAGGCGTTAAAATAGATAACTGATTGTACAAACAGCATACACATAGTGTATGACAGATCAAACGGCTTGCAGCATTCAGCTGTGTTTTATGATAATTTGACAAATGCTTTTACACATATTTCGTCCTGATTTACTGGTTGATGATATTTGAGGGACATGTAGATTGTGTGGAAGTAGATAGAGGTATGTGTGTTCAAGTAGATGGATGCTTTGATATGTGTAGAACGTTAAATGTATTCGGGGAAGAACCTTTTAAGCTATTTTGGTAACGTCTTTAGATTGCAATAGATCATTTTCTGATGCATAAGTGAAATCTATGTTATAAACCGTTGAAAAATTTGATACTCTTCTGTCTATGCTTTGGGTGTCTAATAAATGTTTTTTTTTTATTATTGGCATGTTTGGCAGTGTTTCCTTGTCTATGGTCCACAGATAATGTTAGATATTAAATATTCTATCATTTCAGTAAAATAATAAGTCTGTGGACCATGGACAAGATCTCACTTCATTTTAATTTTTTAGCTTTTTTTGTTTTCTTTTTATTTTTTAAATAATTATGTTATGTGTGTTTTGCGCAGAAATAAATGGTTTTTCTTTCTTTCTTTCTTTCTTTTCCACCCGCTGTTTTGCCCAAGGAAACACCAAATGCCTGTCAGTCCAGTCTTGTCTGAAGGTAGGCTTTTAAGACAGAAGATCTTTGCGACAATGTATTTATTTGAATTTTACATACACTGTATACACTAATTTTACATTAGTGACGGGTTTATATTTTCGTGACTTACTATGAAAAAAGTATAAAATAAACTGAAGGTTAGTGATCTCTAAAGCGTAGAAGAAAATGTTTGAAATATGTTTTTATCTGGTAAATTAACTACTACCAGGCGCAAGGGTGGTAGGTACTCAAACCCATAACAAATACAGTGATCTCACTACTAGAGGAATCATCATAATTATGATCATGATGATTGTTTATTTATAATCTAACTAATCATGAACATGGATAATAAAAGTCATCATTCAATCATCGAATTGAATAGATGATAACTATAAAATTAATATTAGATATTATGACGCCCGCTTCTCATGCACGAGGGCGCGGGTTCGAAACCTACCAACGGTAAGTACCAATGTGACGTTTTCCGAGTTATATGTACTTTCTAAGATTATTTAGACACCACTAACAAACGGTGAAGGAAAACATCGTAAGGAAACCTGGGCATATAAGTTTAAAATCGCCAACCCGCATTAAGTAAGCGTGGTGATTAATGCTCAAACTTTCTCCGTATGAGAAGAGGCCTTTGGTCAGCAGTGGCCACTTATAGACTGATTATGAGATATTAAATCTGATAAAGAAAATGATCTTTACATTATTCTCACATGTGTGTACAATATTGGAATATGAATCAGAGCAATCTAAAACAGACTTTTTTTAAAAGAGTAACGAATGGAATTTCTTGCTCGTTCTTCTCCACTCAAATCGACATTTTGGAACGAGCGCCTAGCTTCACTGACGGACAGACTGACAGACTATTATATATTTCATATTTGTTGACGTTTCAAATTATGGTTTACTTGAAATAAATGCTTTTGAGTTTTGAGTTTGATCCAATATTAGATCCTTACCTACTCCAACTTTAATATAGGTGTCTCATACAGGACATACCTACGCAAGGTTTGTCAGTTTTAAGCCACAAAATAAGAACGTAGAGCAAAAATACAGTTACGTCTTCATTAACTAAAACATAAATAAACTTTAAATAAGTACCATTTTAACAAAATATCCTCATTACATTACACAACCCTAAACGCAAACGTAAACACGATGTAATATACTTACAGACTTGCATTGTTTACTCGCATCGTACAATCTTTACTCATCTTTTAGCTAACTTCGCTTATCTATAGATGCGTGCTTACTGAAACTTTCACGTTCAGGGTATGTATGGAACTCGTCAAAAGAGCCGCTCTCCTCCACGGAGCGAACGCGTCCACCGTGCGGAACTTAGGACCAAAAAGTATCGAAAAAAAGATTTTATTTTGGAAAAGAAAAGGTTTATTTTAGTAGTGAATATGTGTCGTGTTTATTGTGCTGCTTTTTAAATGGATTTTAAGGTAAGACTTGGATTAAAATGGATTTTTTTTTAGTTTATATTTTGATTGTGATTTGCTTTACAAAATAGTAGGTACTGGACTGGACGTTGAATGGTTTGTTTTGACTTCTGAGAATAGAGTGTAGTTAACATTTTTTATTGTGTCGAATTTATAGTAGTGTGATGATATTGCGACTTCAAAATATTTACAAAGATTGCAATGCAATACCTAAATATAAATGCCCAAGTAAGTAATAAAGTTTAAATTTAAATATTGACAATTATTTGAAGAGTCGTTACCTACTCAAAATATTGTTTAAACGTTTGGTTAGCACTTTTTTTGATAGTCCATAAACGGCAACCGTAATATAGTCACAATAGTTATCATATGTCAGTTAATTTAATATACCAATAGATCGTTTGTGGTATTTCCTTGAATATCACCAGAAGGAAAACTAAATTACTTTATAACATTTGTCAAGTCGCGATCTAACAAAACTGGATTACGATACTACAACCTTTTTTAATATTTCATTAAGTGTTGGTAAAAGTGTACCCTTTGGAACTATCGATTAGATCAGTAAAGTATAATCAATGCTTCTGGATAAAAAAATACTTAAACTTTCTTTATATTTATCTAATCTAGTAGACAATGGGTCTTTGGCTTTTCAGAAACGACCATCTTATGAATTAAATCGTCAATTCCTTACCTTCCAAATTTTGATTGGTTTGCGTAAATCCTATTTCAGACAGACATCTAAACAAACATAAACCAAAATCAAAACTTTATGATACGATACTCTATGCAATGAGTCTGTTGTAGATTTGCAAGGACATCGCTAGAGCAGCTTTAATCTATCTGTCAAATTCATGGCCAGTATTATCAATAAAATTCTATTTTCAAATGAGCGCCGTCAATGAATTTGACACATACTATTTACGAGGTATTTCCCGCCAAACCATAGGTAAACGGCGGCCATTTGCGAAATCTGTCAAATCAAACGATTCTGTATTGCGATTTTGCGTTTATAGCCTTGGTTTAAATACTTATAGATGTTGGATATATGTATGTACATACATAAGGGCTCTTGATGTGACTGAAAGTATATTAGTTTTCAGTACTGTTGATGGTTAAAATCCTTTGCATTACTGTTACACAACATTACGACAAAACTTTCAGTTCACACACACACATAATCACACATAACAACACGCCTTTTAACCCCGAAGGGGTTGGCAGACGTGCAAATTATACCACTGTAAGTACAATGTAACACCCACTTTTTACTATTTATGTTAAGAGTCCCATGTAATAGGGGGTGAGCCTATTGCCATATACCGGGCACAATTCCAGACTCCGTGCTACTACTAACACCCAGTAATACTTTGCCCGACACGGGAATCTAACCCCTTGCCCGGCAGTCGCAAATACGACATTTTGACAACGAGGCAGTCATAGTACCTAAACAAGAAGTTGATTACAATGAACTCTATAATATTGACCCATACCATATCCATTTAATGGGAATAATATCAAAAATTTCGAAATAACTCCAAACTTTATTGTGTTATGATTAATGTCTAGGATTGCGTACAGGAATTTGACGATCGTTCTATTTCTGCGAACTGTCTATAACGCACGTAGTTCACGGAACATGGACGGCGCCGGTCCAATCAACTTTCAACTATTATTGTCTCATTTCAATAAACATAATAATTAGTGGAACAAGTTATATCTTGTGTTCTAGTCATAAAATCACGGTGCTGTACTAAACGATTTCGCCTTGATAATTATAACAAGCATGTTATTTATGTTTTCTTTATTATTACTACACATTTCTGTCAGTGTTCGCAGGCAGATGAACGCATCAAAATGGATTTTATGGATTGTTTTTGTAGATTAACATCGTCCAAATTATTCTTTAGGTCGAAACAATTATTGGCTGTTATAAGTGTTGTATCAATAAAAGAGTTTTATCATTGACAGCCCGTGATAATCCACTGCTGCCTTCTTTACAGGGGTTTATCATTATCTCCAAGATTACAAAACAGGTAAAACTGTTGATGAAGCGAAAGAGGTATGTAGGAATCGTAGTAATTGGCGTTCCATAGTCTCTGCCAACCCCCATGGAAGACTGACGCGAAGTTATGTACATACATACGTTCATATGTATGTATTACAAAACGGGTTGGAGATCGCAAATTGATAGGTTTAAGTCTATTAGAGAGCACTATTGTCTAATCTCTGTCTAATGTACTAAATTAATTTTTATTTCTTTACTACTAGGATCTATAGCGAATAACTTGGCTGCCTGTACGTAATTTTAATTTCAGCTACCGAGTACCAAATACGTCATTTGAAAAGTTAATCTTTAATGAGTTCCGAAAAATGATTTCATATGTCAATTTTTTAGACCTGTTAATCTTTTCAGCCTAATTGTCAGTGCTTACGTAAATATAAATACAAGTCTCGCCCACACTTCCCACGTTACATTTCAATCGTGGATTTCTTACATGCAAACCTAGGTACTGCCTACGGTTTTACTCGTATACATTTTAGAAGATTTTATTCAAGTAGAAACTGATCCTATAAAATGTTGGCTCAAAAAGTTGCCTATGTTACATATTGAAAAGGATCTAACTGAAAATAAACCCGTATCTTTCTTCTTTATAATATTCGAATTCGAATCTACATTTTGGAATGAGCACCTAGCTTCACCTAATTTACTGAAGGACTGACTGATAGACTATTATTTATTTTGTATTTGTTGACGCTTCAAAAGTACCAAACTATGGTTAAATTGAAATAAATGCTTTGACTTTGACTATAATATTAGAAGAAGTAGATGTACAGAGTGCATAGATAGGTACAAATCCATGATGCAATTCTAATTCTTAAAATATTGGAGTAGTTTCAAACTCTGTCGTTTTGCGATAAAGTCGAAAAATGTAAATTGATAGACAACAGAATCTTGTAGTCCTGGAGAGGCCCGACAGTGATAATGACTTTCATCATAATTGTATGTTTCCAGCCTTATCGTTCTGAAACAAATTTGAAAATTGATTGATGAGAATCTTGACACAGCGACCGATTGTTGTCGTAATGATACGTAAGATTTTTTACAATAACATTAACATTACTGCGGTAAGATGAACTAAATGGTAATCCCAGTGAATCATATGAAGTATGTAATGAATGGGTACATAGCAATTCTATTGAATTCAATATGTAAAAAGTACTTCGACTTTAATTGTTATGTGATGTCATTGTTTCGGGAAGTTCTAGCTTCAACGGATATAGCCATTGATCAAAGTTTATAAGTTAATGGCCTCTGTTCTGAAAATTCTAGGAAAACATTTAGTAAAGATACTTTGTCCTTAATCCATTTGCTTATAGCATTTAGACGCGAGTCCAAAGAGGAATTAGAAATTAAACTGTCAAACACCAAGCGGTCACCGGTGACCGCCACCTATTGTTCTATAATTGTGTCTACAAAACCGGTACTCGACGAGTTAATATGTGTCCGATATACATAGCTTTCTAGCATATTATATTTCTAGCTTTGATATCATCATCAACAGCCTATATGCCCAGTGCAGAGCAAAGCCTCTTCTCACAGGGAGAAGGTTTGAGCTTTAATCACCACGCTTGCTCAATGCGGGTGATTACAAAGTTATAATTAGAAATTATCAGCCCAGGTTTCCTCACGATGCTTACCTTCACCGTCTTAGAAAGTACATATAACTCGGAAAAAATCACATTGGTACTTGCCGTCGATAGGTTTCGAACCCGCACCCTCATGCACGAGAGTTGGGCGTCTTAAACCACGGCCACCACGACGCATCTAGCTTTTATATAATTTGTCGCAAGCGACATATATGACAATTCATAATGTCAATGTGTAGGATATTGATGTCAATATGTTAATATCCTATGTATTGACATTATGATAATTGACTTTGATTTTTCTATTGACACATTTGCCTATCGTTTAAATTCCAAATTTATCTATAGGCGTTTACATGACAGAGAAAAAATCGTGAAGAGTGTTCAGAAAATTGAAAATCCTCTAAAAAGATTCAGCAGTGAATCTTCTTTTTAAAACTTTTTCACTACAGAACAGACAGAAATCAAGACACCCCATCTGAATAGCTTATTATGTTGACACAGATCGCCAAGTTGCAGACATCAATATAAAAAAAAACTAGACTCTACAATCTACATACAATTTTATTAATCCAAGTTGTTACGAAGATTGGCACAAACACTTAGACTGGTTAGTACTTAGTAGTATATATAACATCACGCCTTTTATCCCCGAAGGGGTAGGCACATTATGCCACAATACAATGTAACACCCACTTTTCACTATTATGTTATGAATTGCATGTAATAGTATGCATGCAATGTGAGCCTATTTTGCCATATACCGGGCACATTTCCAGACTCCGGCTACTACTGAGATTTTTTTTAAAACCCAGTAATACTTTGAACTTCGTACTTCACTTAATTAATCTTCATTAACCAAGCATTTTACACAGCCCGATAACGAAGTACTACATTATTATGTTACACTACAATATATTATATATTTAATGCTTATTAAGCATGATAAACCTAAATTCATTTGTCCTTCTCATCAATGTGGGTGGCCTTTATACAAAAGATCAAAATGAACTGATAATATTAAATAACTTCATAGCTGGTAACCTACTCATCGAGATTAGGTCGGTATCCTCATTTGCATGTAAAGATGAACATGATATTCAATAATCAACCTAATTAGTAGGGGATAAAAGTGTTAGAATTTAATGAGTTATGGATAAATGTGACCTGGTTCTTATGTCTAACTCAGTGGTAAATTTTGTACTGTATGGTATCAGTGTGGACCTTTATTAGGGTTTCGCATGGTGTCCTTGTTGTGAGATCTCAGTCTTTGTTAGACTTTTTTATTAATACACCAATATTGCATATGATTACGATTGTGGTTTCCACACTTGCGTAATGACGGCAATTAAATC